ATTACATTTCACCTATAGCGTGCATGTCATTGTACGTGTGCAGCAAATACAAAAAAATCACAAGGAAATACGCTAGGCGGCATTGGGTCAATAGTGTTGCCATGAAATGCTCCCAAAACTTGTCTTGTTTGCGCTGCTGTGGTGCACCGCAGTGAGCCCTGTGTAAATTGGTTACCTGTTGCGTCGTTCTTTCGTCCATGGCATGATCTTCTGAAGGAGGCGTCGCAACCAATGGAATCAAACCTCTTGCCGGGGACGCTGCAAACCATTTTGCTCGCATTCTGGTGGTGGAATGGATCATTTTTTGCTTCTCAGCCACCCAACTTATTTTGTGAAACTACGTCCATGAACGCAATCCTTAGCCTTCATACAAGAAGACATTCTTTTTCTGGTTTGTTTTTTACATCGTCGTCATCACTAAGTGTCACCTACAGCCCAGCTGCTGACATTACACTGTCTGCACACTGGTGGCTGCAAACGAGACACTTGCGTGCTATTTTAACGCGACTCAGTCCGAAAAATGTTCTTACTCTGAAGATTTGGGATGCTGAAGCATGAGCAGAGCTGGCAAAATCAGACCGACTCCGGTTCCCACGCATGTGTTGTGATGCTGACTAATGAGGGATGCCTGAACGTCTCGCAGTTTCTAGCCATTCCGAATACCGGGCGGTTTTGGGATGTTGACAAAATGACACACAGCCATACTGTTAAGACTCTTCAAAGATCATGAAAGAGACATACCAGTAACGACTGGAATGACGTTACTTGAAATCGTAACGACCGTTTCTTCATATTTGCCGGTCGGCACAAACATTATGGTGAGTCTCGATGGTTTGTGTTGCGGATTGCGACTGTTGATTCGTTCCGATGATCAATGTAAGCATGGCAACTCACATCCAATGTTTTAACAAAGCATTCGGAAACATTTTTCCCGACACGTGGTCGTTTTCGCCTAGCCGCCTCCAGCCGCCAGGTGTCAGCTGTGGGGTCCAACGCTGCCCGGTTAATGGAGACTGCAACGCCAGGCGTCAGTTAGTTTGCGCCTGAAACACTGCCAACACCTGGACTAAAAACGTCACCTGAAAGATGCTTACCGAAAATGCTCTTGAGTTACAGACCAGAGACATTACGGAACCGGATGAGTCATTTTCGAAAGGCACTAATGCGCCTGGATCGAATTGGGCCTGTTCTACTTGCCTTCGTCGCTTTTGCGAGATTAAAATCTCAGTGGCCTCCTTTCACTTTGATTGCTGATTTGCCATTTTTAAGCTGCAGCGTGTATTTGCTCTCCAACATGTCTGTGGGGGAGGATGGGGGGGGGGGGGGAAGATTCAGCAAAGAGGCCAGCAGTGCCCCAGCTGAGTGTCTGCTGACTGGAGGACCCCCTGAAGTACCATCGACCTAACCGAACACAGAGTGTCACATCACTATAAGTATCCAAACAACTTCATACCAAATAGTATGTTGTATATATAACATGCTTTTATAATGCTTGCTGATTAACGTGTTGAAGGGAATGTTTCACATTTGAAGATATTAAAGCAAGCATCAGATATGGGGAAACAAGCTCACCTTATAACTGTTGATATGCTTTTTAAGTGGAAAAGATGGCTCTAGATAGCCCAATTCCCTGCTCAGTAAATATATTTTCAATGCGTCATAGTTTGATTACGTCATCGTGCCTTTCACGACACTGATTGAGAGCCAATGGACGGCTGTATATTTGGAAATTGCCTCCACGAAAGCCAGATGTGAATGCCTCGACAACTTATTTTTCTTGGCCTTGATCGCCGGATGGCTTATGGAATAGCAGGATTTGCATGACGTTATTATGACGTCATGACTGCCAAGGTGACTTTGAAATGCTCCCTCGATATACCTTTCCCACTTTTGCGGGCGTGTAGCTCGGAAGCTAAGGGGGCTCAAGTCTTAAGAAGGGCAGGATTGTGAACATCACCAAAGGTCTTTAAAATGGCTATTAAATGTGAGACACTCCCTTTAAGTCAGTCTGCAAATGATTGACAAGCTTTGCTATACACCAGAATTAATGAGATATTTCTTATTATTATATTAATAATTATATTAATAATTAACAATTAATGAGATAAGAATAATAAGCTTTTGATAAGATAACGCCAGAATTGGCACACAAAGAATGAACGCACGTTTCCCCAACAGTGGCAAGTGTGTTTGTAGTCTAATCGCGGCTGTTTAGTTAAACAACTCAATCAGCGGCGGCGAAGTCATCGGTGATTTCTTACTAAGAATTGCTAAGCTTTTTGTGAGTTGCACCCCATTCAAAGCGCTTCCATTAACTTAAAATGGTACAGTATTTCTCTGCCAAAAAACGAGCTTTGATATGCGAAATATTAAAACCTTTTTCAATTCTAACATCGAAGACACAAGTTCAAACGGTCGAAATCCGGGAAGCAAGCAGGGTTGCGGGTTCAACCTTTTCGGCTGAGCCCCCCCCCCCAAAAAAAAACGATGTTAGGAAGTGACACCCCTGGTAACGTGTCTTCTCCCAAGTCGGATGGCCCATAGCAGGGGTTTAGTTTCTTTTTCAGTCAGGGGGGGGGGACAGGGGCTTTGCCCCACCCTCAGTGTTTGAGAAATAAGCGGGCCAAATCCGGAGAACACTCCGTTTGTTGACGTATTTTGGGGTAGATTAAGCCATTTATCACAGAAAGGGCTCCTTTTTTTCTCACCGACGAAATCTGTAGCTGTCTAAATTGTCACGTGGAGCCAAATCTTTCAACGACTGTTGCAATATTGCTCTAAATGCAATACACTGCATAAAACAAAGACAAATAAAATGTAGGCCGGCATGACCATCAAACGTGTTTTTTCGGGAGTTCATTAACAATAAAGTATCATTTCCTGGCCATCAAGCTCTGAGTGATGGTTGGGACTTAAGTAGTGGAATTATCAGAGACAAGTATACTTAACATATTTAGCCTAGAAGCGTGTAGCTTTTTATTCGATTTGGGGCAGTGGTGTGACTCCTAACCAGTGATGTAATTTCCTATTTTTATTTATCCTTTTTTATCCGCGTTTTTCATGAATCATGATTTTTGCGAGTTCAGTCCAAAACTTATTGTGAGAAACTACAGCGGTGCTCCCAACTTCGAAAGAAAGTGCGTCAAATATGGAGATACCACTGTTTTAAGTGCATTGCGGAGGCAGGCTCAGCCATTTTTCTTCCTGTCCCACCCTTTTCCTCACCCCTACGTATCTTGCAAAACTGCATCCCTGCAGTCCTACAGTTATTCATAACATGGTTCTACAAGCACCTGAAAACAATTTCACCTCTGGCTTTTGACGTCATCGCACCACCAGTTGGAAGCGTTGGCGACCTTTACTATCTTCGCATAATCATTACCGGCGTGAAACCCGCACTTCCCAATATGGCCACATTTGATAAGCGCGATACCCTTGCGATTTTGGAATCAGCAGATGCAGACGGCTTTTTAAACACGTCTAGCACCTTCATTTAGCTCTGTATACAGTATGATGACAATTAAAAGCGTTTTATCTCACGCTTGTCCACGCCCAGCACACCAGCACTAAACCACAAAGTATGAGGTGCTGCGGGCAATTTGAGGCCTACACCAGCGATGCTCGGCATCTTACTTTAAAGCAGCAGAAAGCCCCTGGTGAGTCCTTGACATGAGTCGCTCCTACGTCCTCTGTTGACCTCTGAAGCTACAGTTCGGGTATCCACTTACAACAAGCCTAACCGACGATTGGTTACGCTTTTCAAGCCAGTCAGTTACCCACGATATGAACGCAGCGAACAGCGGCTCACAGCCTTGCATGGAACTCGATTCATTACCGCGTGGCGAACATTTGAGCCCATCTGTTTCAAACAGCGCGACGCCTTAAAACGCCGCTTACCAGACGTAGTAAACTGATCACGTCCGTCGTAAGATGCCGCGGCCAGGCACGATTCTTACCACGTGTAATTCTGCGAAAAACACCGATCTGAGCGGTGTTAAAGAGCGCTGTGTCACCACTGATCTGTGACGTCAGCACTGATGAAACATGGTTTATAGTATACTTCTGTCACCTGCTAAAAGCTGTCCTGATTAAAGCTACTATTTTGGCAAAATCTTGCGACTCAAATTATTCATAAAGTGAAGCACCAGCGCTTCGACATGTAGTTCATGCGTACTCATGCTACAAGCGCTAGCGAGTACACACCAATACGAGGCTTTAAACTTCGTCCAGTTTAGATGGTCTGTTGTGCTATGGCCTGGTCTATTGTAATTTACTTTTTGAGATTTCATCACCTCTTGGCCCGTAAAAGCGTCTGTTTTTATTACTGATCATATCCGGTAAATTAGAAGCTTTCCCCTGGTCCCCCACTCATTTTGCCAACCTGCGGCCCCACCTCATATTTGTTCCTCTCTCCGAGCCAACGCTGATAGGCCCAATGTTAAATTATGAGAATTTAAAAGAGCTCAGTCTCCCTGCCACACCCTAAAATGCCCTGATTGGATAGAAAATGGTGTCCTCGGTCGTACTTGCAAGTGACAGACCGCGGACCTCCCGTCGTTTCCGTGTTTAACCCTCGGAAAAAAACGTCTGCAGCTGAGGACATATTCACTCGAGCCATACCATCTCGTCATCGGTCGTGACCTGCACCACGGGAGCTGAGGAGGCATTAATCGAGATCGATGCCAGCATCCAGTCGAGCAAAAACAGCCCAACAAAAGAGGTCATCTTTGAGACACTCAGCGATGACCTTGCCTCCAACCCGTACAAAGCAGAACGCCCCCTCCCCCTCTCTTTAAAAAAATGCGGAAGCCATACGCACCACCGCTCTTCTTGTTTCCATCCAACGGCTGCTGATCGCGCTTCTCTCGAGCGACCAGCCATCTCCCAGCAACCCTCCCGGCCTTCGCCTCCGCGGCCGTTTTTGGCTCCGTCACTACTGCCATCTAGTGGTAGGTTTAAAAAGTGACGGACACTCGTCGGCTGCGCCATTTTCGCAGCTGTATTCGGCGTTGGAGCACGCGGTGGTCGCTGCTGTGCGGTGCGAAGTGTTGGCTGGTCGCGTTGGTTCTCCCCATCGTTCTTATCTAATACCTGTACTCACGATTAATGTCAAGATGGTGTTCTTGTCTGTATTCGGCGAGAAGATCAGGGTGAATTACCGGTTCAGCCCTTTCTACTACTCTGACTTTACCGACACGCACGGAGCGGTGGCGCCTTGCACCTAGAGCGCTCTAGGTGCGTCTCCCGCGGTGACTGTAGCAGAAGGACTATTGTCTCAATCTCGCGTGGTGTCACCAATCCGTGTGGTGTGAGGTCCGCCAGAATGGCCGCCGGACGACGAGACGCAGCAATGGTAAGCGAGGCGAGACGCCAGTGGCACAGCGGCCATGTCAGCGGACACGACGCCCGCGGGTACTTCCGGTCGTGAGCTGATTTGTGTTGATCTTATAATTGATTGGTTAATGCGTGACGTTGAGCTGCGCGTGGTGGCTTTGCTGTGTCGCTGGTTGGAACTGGGTAATTCTACCTCGAGTGTCTCCTGCGTGAGAACATGGTTGGATCACTTCTCCGATGATTGGCGCGCGAAACCTGTTCCCTCGATGCAAAACACTCGCTTATGTGATCTCAGTGAAGCTGGTCACCGGTTACTTCATACGGAACCCACTGCATAGTCCGTGACGTGCGTGAGATTGGCCGATGCTTTAAACTTCCTTACGGGTCACCGATCTCTTCCATGCCTTTGGTTCGACAGTCTGGGCTTGGGGGCATATTATGTAAGAATTGTGGGCTAGTTCAGGGCACCAGGGGCCGTTGCTAGTAAGAAAGTATTTGTGTCAAGTATGTGTCACATTTCAAGCTTGTGTCACATTTCAAGCTTGTAGGGATCTCCCTTCCCCGGGACAGCTCGCCCTGAGCGCGCCTCTGGTCGTCGGCCGCGTGCGCCTCCGCCGACGAGCCGCCTCAAACCGGTTTCGGCCGGTGGACGAGCGGGCAGGCGCGACGCCGTGCCTTAGTGTAGTTTCATCGACCGATACTACGCGGGCCCATGAGCGATGGAAGCGGGGCTGGAAGCGCGAGCTTGCCCCGCTGGCTGGTCCTGCTGGGACCTCTCCGCTGCCGGCGGGCCAGGACCACCTGCGTTGCCGCGACGTCGGGCCCCCATGGCGTCAGCGTCGGATCGCGACGGGTCCTCGCGGCTCGCCGCTCTCGCTCGCCGGCGGCCACGCACAGAAGCCTTGTACACCGTTCGGCAGCTGCTGTCTCCCACCCAGTTAGGCTGGCTAGAAAGCTGTTGAAAACACGAGGAAAGTCCAGTCCCGGCCTTCGCGAACGCGATTGACCACCAATGGCACTGGCTGGCCAGGGGCGTAGCAAGGCCGCAAAAGCGGGGGGAGGGGGTCCTTGCTCGTGCTTCGCGCGCCTGGTCGTGGGATCAACGCTCCACGTCAAAGAAATTTGGATAGAGGTGTGGTCCAGCTCCTGGCTCGTGTACATGTGACGCCGGGGATGATCGCCTTTCTTCGCTGACGCCCCTGACCAGATCTCACATTGCCCAGGACGGGCGCCCGTCAGCAACGCTGACATCTGTGCTACACCCGGCCCCCGACGCGCGTGACACGTGACACATGACACCCGTGCTGACACGTGTGTCTATGGTTACAGTCTCCGCTGCTCAAGTCGTTCCTGGCCGGTTCGTTCTCGGGCTCGTGCTCGACCGTCCTGTTCCAGCCGCTTGACCTGGTCAAGACGCGCGTGCAGGCGGCGGTCCTCAGGGGGTACGTCCGCACCCCTGCCGTGCCGTGCCGCGGCGCCCACTCGGGGTGCAGCTGCGTGTCCGGGCGGTGGGATAGATGGCCAGCTGGGCCCACGTGAGGTTTTTACGTGATTTAGCTCACCTCGTTTCTGCTGGAGTGATGAATGTTCAGGCTGTGGGCGAATGGGTAACGTTGAAATGTGATATTTGCGATGTGGGTATGGACCTTTGATTTTTTCGGGCTTGCTGGTGTGGGGAGGTTTCTCCAAATTGGAAGTGTACGCCAGTTAACGGCGCAGTCTTATTTCGAACTCTATTGTTCTTTTATTATTATTTTTTATAATTTATATCTATTCTTTATAACATTTAACTCTTAACTATTCAACTCTATAAGTTATATATATATATATATATATATATATATATATATATATATATATATATATATATATATATATATATAATATATATATATATATATATATATAATTATTTCTAACTTTGCGACCGGATGCACCGCGTGTGACGGCGGCCGTCTGGCGTTTCAGGAATAGTCCTTCTGGTATGGCCACCGTGATATGGAGTGTGATCAAGAATGAGAGCCCGCGTGCTCTCTGGAAGGGTGTCGTGCCGGTACGTGACGCGCGGCGGCGCCGGCCGCGGTCGTGGCCACATCCCGCCACGTGGCGCGCCCTTGTCGCTGGAGGAGGGGGGGGGGGGGGAGGGAGGGGCTCTCCCGCTGTGGTGGGGTGTTATGTAAGACGATGTGTGTTGTGTGTGAGCGGTGTTTTGCGAGATGACTGGGTGGCCGTTCTGTGTGACGGCTCAGGACAGTAAGCAAGTGTGGGGTCTGGGACAACGGGGTCAGATGGTGGCCACCGGTGTTACGGTCCGTGCTAGCACTGCATTATTTTGCGTGACCTGGATTCTCTATCCTGAACTGAGCTCATGTCTCCGTCTATGATTAATTACCGTCTGAAGGACTGCTGCGCCTACTTGTTCCCGTGCCCTGTGCATCTGTCGCTGAGCCGTGCCATACCTGATGTCTGACCTGACCTGACCTGACCTGATCTGACCCGCGAACTCGCCTGTCACCTAGCCCATAGCCGTGCCCCATGCATAACTCGCTGAGCCATGTCATCGTCAGACCTGACCTGGCCTAACCCAACCTAACGTTACCCGACCCTACCCGTGACCTTTCCGTGACCGCGCCCGTGACCGGCGCCCGGTGCCGCAGTCGCTGACCCGTGTGGTGCCCGGCGTCGGCCTGCACTTCACGGCGCTGCACGTGCTGCGCTCGGCGCTGAGCCACCCGCCGTCGGCGGCCGAGGCGCTCGTCATCGGCGGCAGCGCGCGCGCCCTGGCCGGCGCCGCCACCATCCCGGCCACCGTCGTCAAGACGCGCTACGAGGTGAGAGCCGGCCGCCGCCGCCGCCGCCGCCGCGGGCGGCTGCTGTCAGGTGGCAACCCCGTGGGAAGGGGAGGGGTAGTAGTAGTTGTCATCCGTCGCTCAGAGGTTTTCCTATGTCTCGCGACCGCGTGGTGGTAGTTGGATGTATGGGATTGCCTCGCGAAGCTCAGTTTTGTTCAGACGTAGATGTTCATCAGAATAGGCTACGTGAGATGCCAGATGCCGGTGCCGCTTCTCTGTATCTCCACGCGTTACAAGTTCACGAGAAATCTATTCGGAGCTCTGCCTTGCGCGCGCCTTGTGATCCCTTGGCAAAGCTCACCGCGGCTTCCCGTGCCAGCCGAGCTACAGTGACAGCGATCCGTCGTCGCGGAGTGATTAGTAATTAGCAATTAACACCAGCTGGGGTCTAGCTCCAAGGGCAGGCCAGGGGTCAGCGCCGGGTCACCGGGGCTGGGGTCGTAGAGGTCGTCACCGGGCGCCGACTTAGGCCTCCGGGCGCCAGCAGCGCCAGCAGCAACACCGGGCGTGGAGTCGACTCCGGTCTGGCGGTCAATGACCTCGCACGCCCGAGGCGTGTTCAGCGAGGGGCGGCGGGAACGGGATGGGGGCGGGGGAACGTCCGCAGTAGCGCCGGAGCGGCTGAACTCAATGTGTGATCTCCATGTGAACTCCGTATGAACTCCATGCGGACGAGTGCACAGAGGAGGTGCGCTGGCGGGTCGCCGCCGACGCCGCCGCTCCTGTTCTGCGGGGCGTGCCGCGAGAGGAGTCGAAAGGAAAAGAGAGCTCCTCTCTTGCCGCGAGAGGAGTCGAGAGTCCCCTCTCTCCGCCGCCCGCTGACCGCCTCGCCGTCCGGCAGAGCGGCATCTACGACTACCGGGGCGTGACGCAGGCGCTGCAGCTCATCTACCGGACGGAGGGCGGCCGCGGCCTCACGCGCGGCCTCCTGCCCACCCTGCTGCGCGACGTGCCCTTCTCCAGCTTCTACTACATGTTCTACAGGTGGGTGCCGGCCTGGCGGCGCTCCCGGCCGCTGGCCGCCGCTCGCCCGGCCGTGTGGCGGGCTCGCCGAGGCTTGTGCGGCTGGAGGGGGGCGAGGGAGGGGGAGGTGACCGGCGGAAGGGGAGGTCTGCGGGATTGGTCGGCGGACTGGACACGGTCCAACTGCACAGTGGACGATGCCCCTCTGTGCCCTTTTGGCCAACAGAGTGGTTAACTGCGATCCCGATCGCTCCTTTTGCGTGACAGTGGTGATCACATGTCAGCACCCGCTGTTTGAGGAACAGAACCAACTTATCAGCGGAAGTCGTCCCTGGCATGAATGAAAGAAAGTACCGATTGGGTGTTGGCAGTGTTTGTGTACTTGAGCGTGGTGATCCGCCCGTCCAGCTGCGGAATATCCATGGCGTAAAACGTCCTCTGCTGGGTTTTCCCGGAGTCACGCGCTTTTGCCCGTGTCCTGTACGGCGCTTTGTCATACCATGCCGTGCCGTGCCGTGCCGTGCCTTACGGTGCCGTGCCGTGCCGTGCCGTGCCCCCGCGTCTGACCCGGCTCCTCTCGGGCCGCCCGGCAGCCAGACGCGGCGCGCGCTGCCGGCCGAGGTGACGTCCGGCCGCTGGTCGGACGTGGCCACGTTCGGCTGCGGCCTGCTGTCGGGCCTGATGGCCTCAGTCGTCACGCAGCCGGCCGACGTGGTCAAGACGCGCGTGCAGCTGGCCGGCGTGCCCGCCGCCAGCGGCGGCACGCTGGCCCAGGCCGTCATCCTCATCTACCAGGTGGGTGGTCCGCGCCCCGGCGGCGGGCGGCGCTGGTCACGCGTGTGCCGCGTGGGGGACGTTTGTGTCGCGTGATTGTCCTGTGATGTGTCAGCACAGCGGAGCGCGGACACGGGCAGAGTGCTCCAACCCGCGGGTGGGTTGAAGCACTCTGCTCTGGTCGGCTTTTGGAGGTGGCTGCTCCGCGGCGAGCCCCCCCCCCCCCGCCCCCTGCGTGCAGCCCCGGCTGATAGGTAGAGGGGCGCGGAGCGCGGCGGATCAGTTGCAGGTGTAGGAGGCTGGCGAACGGCGCGCGGGCGGGGCTGATTCTGCGGGTGTTCGGAGTAGCGTGGTTGTCGGCGCTTGCGGTCTGGAGTCGGCATAGCGAAGGCGTCCGAGGATCGGGCGTGTTCGGGTGGTGAAGGTTTGCGACCCCCCCCCCCGCCCTCCCCCCCCCAATCCGACCTCCTTTGGTTGGCAGTCTCCCGCTCTTCCGCAGAGTGCCGGTTGGGTTACGCCACGCTGTCACCACCCGCCCCTGCCTCCCACCCCGCCCCTCCCAGCCGGATAACAGAGGCGCGCCGTGCCGACTAAGCCGGGCCCCAGGCTCGGCCGCTCCCGCGCGGGCGCCGAGAGACGGGAGACAGCCGCCGCCGTCGCCGCCGCCCTCTGACGTCACGGCTCGGTCTGTCGCCGTGCGGACGACGTGTTGGCACGGCGGCCGCCGCCGCGTGGCCGGCGGGCCGGCCCGGGCTGGACCGCCGGCCTGTTGCTGCCCGCCCGAGCACCGACCCGGCGTCGAGCGCGGCGCGTGGCTGGCACTACGGCCGACTCGGCTGCGTCCGACGGACTCTTCCGCCCGGCACGGTCGCTGCTGGTTGTTGGACGTTCGGTGTCGGCGGGCGGGGGGAGGGTTGGGTCCCCGCTGTTGCAGCTGCTTGTTGGCCAGCGGGCCTCCTTCAAACGCCAGGCCGGTACGCTGCTTCCGGCAGCGTGCGACGCTCGGCCTTCCGCGTGCGTTGATGATCGTCCAGCTGTTTCCAGAGCCGGACCGCGCAGGCCCGGCGGCGGCGGGGTCGCCGCTCGGCCCGACCAGGCCGCGCCGACCGCGGGCAGAACACTGTGACGTGTGCCACGGGGTACAGAAGGATGTGGGCGGGCGTATCCTTCCTAGTGCCCTTGCCTTGCGTGGTCGTCGCTTGTGCTCGCTTCTCCTAGTTTTTGCGAGTGTGTTTTCGGTGGCGACGTTTGGCGCACCGTCGGGCTTTCAGAGGTTAGGACGCCGCGTTTTTAGGCACCGGCCGTATGCACCCGAGGCCTCCGAGCGCCGCGGGCGGGCAGTCCTGGGCTCTGTCGCCGTGCGCCGCGTTTTTAGGCACCAGCCTCGTGCACCCGGGGCCTCCCAGCGGCGCGGCGCGCGGCCCTGGGCTCTGTCGCCGCACGCCGCGTTTCTAGACACCAGCGTCGTGCACCCGGGGTCTCCGAGCGGCACGGCGCGCAGCCCTGGGCTCTGTCGCGACAGATGCGTCTTTGCGCAACAGCCGCGTCGAGTTTGACGCCTGGCGGAACACGCTTCGCAATTTCGCCCACGTCAGTGGCTCGTGGGGGCGGAGCAGGAGGCGCAGCCGCCCCAGCACGGGTGGCCGGCGGCGCTGTCCGGCGGCCGCGCGGTCCATCGGCTCCGGTAACGTGCCGCAGACCGGCGCCGGTCCGGTCTGTCGAGCGGACCCAGTGACCTCGGCCGGAAACACGTGACTACACGTGACCGGAGCGAACACGTGCCCACACGCTGGGAACACGTGCCCCGCGCTCCGACAAGTGGACCCTCGGTTTTGAAGCGAAGTCTTCCTTGGAAATGAACTGCTAGGGCGCGGGAGGGGGGGGGGGGGGATTCAGCTACATCGTGTGTTGAAATTGGCGCTCGCTGCTGCGTCTGTGTGTTCGCTGCCGGTACGCTGTCTGAAGCGATCCGCAAATAATGAAATGAGGTGAGGTTCTATTGGCGATTAGCGTGACATGTTCGCGGAACTTAAGCTCTCAGTTCGCCTCAGTAACGCTTTGTGTCAGCAGCCAATAAACACCCTGTCCTTGTTTCGCTCGTGAAGGTCTCGATTCTGACAAAGAGGCGCGGTCAGCCCTGTTGCCCCGTCGCTATGAATGCTTCCGAGCCAACCCTGCGTCGATCTGGGTCAGCTGGTGCAACGAGGGGCCCCCGAGTGGCGTGAGGGCTTGTGACGTCACAAGCCGACCAATCAGGCGTCGAGTGGGCGGAGACGGCCTTGAGCCCGGCTGACGGCCGGCCGAGTGGCGCGCGGATCACCCGTTCTTGGCTGGGCTGATGTATGGAAGTGGCTGGCTGTGTTCACCCCGTTTCAATTGCGCTCCTTGAGCAGAGTCACAGCACGGAGCCGCACGTGATGTTAGGCGGTGGTGCATTGCGCGACTGGAACGCGGCGTGGATCGGTTGAAGCGCACACCGCGGCCGTGAGTCAGGTCGTGGGTTCGAACCTGGGTATCGCCAGCTGTTTTCCGCCGTCTGACGCAATGCAGCCGTTGCCGGGTTTTTCCGCGTTCATGGCCGTGGAAGCTGTTTGCGTCGTTAAGGTATGGCGATTATGGATCGCGACAGCTTCGGCGGACCTCGCAGTGTGTTGGACGACGCGCACGCGACGCCCGCCAGTCTGGACGCAGCCCGCTCTCCGGGCCCGGCAGCCTCCAGCCCCGGGCGGCCCCGTTGGCAGCGGCGGCGGACCGCCGCGCCCTGCTGACCCGGCCACTGCGGTCTGCCGGGGCGGCGTCGGGTCTGGGTCGTGGTCTGCGGCCGCGGGTCTGGGCGCCGGCGGGTCACCGGGGCACTGGCGGACGGCCATGGCCCGTATACCTAGAAGTGGGCTGCCCGGTGACGGCCGGGTCCGGCCATGTCACCTCTGGCCGCCGTCAGCCGTCAGCCCTGCGGCGGCGTCTGCCGCGCGCTGCCGAGCAGCCCCGCTCCCAGGCCACCCACGCGCGGCTCCGCTGCGTACCGCTCCGAGGAACCCGGCCGCTGCTGGAACGGACACCCTCAGATAGTGGCTGTTGGCGTTGGCGGCCGCTGCTAGAAGGCTGTTTTGCGGAGGTCTGGGCTGCTGCGTGGCTCTCACATCAGCTCTATCTGGCGCAGTAAACACCGCGGATTCGCTTAAATGTTCTATTCACGGGTCAGTTGCATTCCTTGGAACGATCCGTTGATAGTTGCCTTCGCTGAACATGTCGATATAATTAGTTATGATTTGCCATCTTCTCGCACCGGACGCTCAATGTCATGACGTCATACAATAACGTCATCCGCGCGTGACTATCTGATATTCTGGAGGTCGACTATCGGTAACAAAGACTCAACCGAAAGGTGCAATTTTACCGTCGAATGGCTCCTGTAGTTGCGTTCCAGTGTGCCTGAGTGTAGGACATTCTACCTGTTCACTGTAGTCGGCGGTACGGGCGGCTCCGGCCGTGGTCCCCGGCTTGGCGGCTCTTGCCGTGGTCCCCTGTCCGGGCGGCCCCGGCCGTGGTCCCGGGCGGCTCCGGCCGTGGTCCCAGGCTTGGCGACTCTGGCCGTGGTCCCCCCGTGCGGGCGGCCCCAGTCGTGGTCCCCCGTCCGGGCGGCCCCGGCCGTAGTCCCGGGCGGCTCCGGCCGTGGTCCCCGGCTTGGCGACTCTGGCCGTGGTCCCCCGTCCGGGCGGCCCCGGCCGTGGTCCCCTGTCCGGGCGGCCCCAGCCGTGGTCCCCTGTCTGGGCGGCCCCGGCCGTGGTCCCCCGTCGGGCGGCCCCGGCCATGGTCCCCTGTCCGGGCGGCCCCGGCCGGGGTCCACCCCGCCGCTGCAACACGGCTGTGCGCGCCGCGTTCTCGTGGTGACGGCCGGGCGGTCACCACCGGCCGGAGGCGGTCTCCGGCCGGCTCCCGTGCCGGCTCGACGGCGCGGCGCGAGGAGTGCGGCGTGGCGTCGGGCGTCGTCAGCTGCGGCGCCTGCCAGGTCAGCGAGGGGGGAGGGAGGGGGAGGGGAGGACACAGATGGCGGGCTGTTGGACGGCGTGTGTGGGGCGAGTCTGAGAGAGCGGGGCCTGTCTGTCAGCCGTCTATTTCCGGCGTGCGGCGATGCCCTGTTTGGCGCACGAGTTGGCCCCGATCTGCCCCTTTATAGCCGGCCAGGGTGCCCCCCCCCCCACCCCGGGCGTACCCCGTGTCGCCCCGTGGACGCCGGCCAACAGCGCCGCCGTCCAGCGGTCTCGGCTGACCTGGAGCGGAGCGCTGCGCGGCCCCCTGTGACCCTGCCCCTGGATTCGGCCTTCTGAAGCCAGCTGTGAAGCCGCCTGGTTTTGTGCCCGTCGGGTCTCCGGCGCCCCCGGCGGGTCTTCCGTACGCCATCCAGTCGTCCTCTCTCGGAGGAGCTCCTTTGCAGTCTGGCGCTGCTCGGTCTCCTCGAACGTCACGCCCGGCATCCGCGCGCCCTCGCGCCGTCGGACTGCTGCCTCCCGTTCTTCCCGGACCTCGCGTTCTTCCACCACTCCGTCCACGCCGTGGTCTGGTCGCCTCGCACAGCCTTGGGCGCGTGGCGCGTACACTGTGCGTCTTGTCTTGTTTCTCACGCCCGAGGTCGCCGTCAGCGCCGCCGGCGTGTCACGCGGGCTGGCTCGACAGCGGGCGCCCGTTTGTCGGCCGTGTTCTCGCGCGTCGGCGGCGGTATTTGTTGTTCCACGGCCGTCCTGTCAATCCGGAGGAGTGCGCCTCGTCCCGCTGTTTGGTCTGTCGGGGTCTGGACACCGCCCCACCCTCGGCATTGGCCACGGCTGTTTTACCGGCCGGTTTTGTGCGCCGAGACGCAGCAGCCGCCCGTCCTCTGTTTACGGCTCCACGCGGCCGTTGGGGGGGGGGGGGAGGGGGTTGGGGGTGCATCGGACTGACGCCAGGGCCGGCCTGTTTGCGCGTCGGCGGCCGCTCAGAGACGAGCGCGGGTCACGCCACCGCCGCCGGCGTGCCAGCAGGCCCTGCGTCGCCGCCGGCACGCCGCCGACCGCAGCTGGCGCCGCTCGGTCGGCCCGGCTGCGCAGCGTGGCGCTCGTCGCCACGTCATCGGCCTCGCGGCGGAAGTGCGCAGATGGATGCGGCCATATGGTTTCTACACGTGTTTCGGTTGTCCCTGACCGTGCGCAGTGCACACCGAGTACATCAGCGCAAACTTAAATCTCGCGCCACTTCTCCACCGCTCAGCATTTGCGCGCGCGGCGTGTGTCCGCCGTCCGGGGACCGGCCGTCCGGTGTCCGCCGTCCGGGGACCGGCCGTCCGGTGTCCGCCGTCCGGGGACCGGCCGTCCGGTGTCCGCCGTCCGGGGACCGGCCGTCCGGTGTCCGCCGTCCGGGGACCGGCCGTCCGGTGTCTGCCGTCCGGCGTCTGTTGCAGCTGGCGGCGCGGGCCCGGGTCTCCGAGGCCATGCGGTCCGGTCCGTTCTGATAGCTTGTCAACCCTCCTTCCTGGCCTGTCGGCTGGCGATAGCAGCCACCTGCCGCTCGGCAGGCGGCTGCCGTACATACGGGAGGGTGTGGTGACCGCTGCGGACTGTCAGGACTGACGTACTGGGCCCAAGGACCGTCCAGGACTGACGTACTGAGCCCAAGGACCGTCCAGACTGACGTACTGAGCCCAAGGACCGTCTAAGACTGACGTACTGAGCCCAAGGACCGTCTAGGACTGACGCACTGTGCCCAAGGACCGTCCAGACTGATGTACTGAGCCCAAGGGCCGTCCAGACTGACGTACTGAGCCCAGGGATCGTCTAAGACTGACGCATTGTGTCCAAAGGCCGTCCAAGACTGACGCTCTGAGCTCAAGGACCGTCTAGGACTGACGTACTGAGCCCAAGGACCGTCCAACCTGACGTACTGAGCCCAAGGACCGTCCAGACTGATGTACTGAGCCCAGGGATCGTCTAGGACTGACGCACTGTGCCCAAAGGCCATGTACTGAGCCCAGGGATCGGCTAGGACTGACGCACTGTGCCCAAAGGCCGTCCAGGACTGACGCTCTGAGCTCAAGGACCGTCCAGGACTGATGTACTGAGCTCAAGGACCGTCTAGGACTGACGTACTGAGCCCAAGGACCGTCCAGACTGACGTACTGAGCCCAAGGACCGTCCAGACTGACGTACTGAGCCCAAGGACCGTCTGGGACTGACGTACTGAGCCCAAGGACTGTGAGTTTGCGAGGTCTGGCGTACAGACTGCTTCAGAGAGCTGGTGTGTTGGCGACTGCGCCGCGGAGGACTTGTGTACCGAAGGACTTGTGTGCCGGGCAGTTTGTGTCTGGCGCCCGCTCCGCATATACACAACCCGTCGCTCCAGACCGCTACGGCCGTCCAGGGGCTGTGATACTGCCATTCATCCCGCGCGCCTGGCACAAGCGTCGCGGGTTATCAGAGCCTGTACTGTGGGCTTCGCTGGCGACTTGTGGTCCTCAATCATACCATCACCGCTCCCGAGAGAGAGAGAGAGAGAGAGAGAGAGAGGAGAGGAGAGAGAGGAGAGAGAGAGAGAGAGAGATGAGGAGAGAGAGGAGAGAGAGAGAGAGAGAGAGAGGAGAGAGAGAGAGAGGAGAGAGAGAGAGAGAGGAGAGGGAGAGGGAGAGGGAGAGGGAGAGGGAGAGGGAGAGGGAGAGGAGAGAGAGGAGAGGGAGAGGGAGAGGGAGAGGGAGAGGGAGAGGGAGAGGGGAGGAGAGAGGGAGAGGGAGAGGGAGAGGGAGAGGAGAGGGAGAGGGAGAGGGAGAGGGAGAGGGAGAGGGAGAGGGAGAGGGAGAGGGAGAGGGAGAGGAGAGGAGAGGGAGAGGGAGAGGGAGAGGGAGAGGGAGAGGGAGAGGGAGAGGGAGAGAGGGAGAGGGAGAGGGAGAGGGAGAGGGAGAGGGAGAGACTCGGAGCCCCGGCAGCTCCTGTTCTGCTCGTATTCGTGGTTGGAGAGCCTACACTGATTGGTGTACGCCAGCCTGGAGCTCACACCGGGCTGTGTGGTTGTTCAGCTTGGCACCGGCCGGCGGCGCCTGCCATGAGAGGCCAGCGATGGGGATGGGGGTAGTGTTTTGGACGGGAGGGGACATGGATGTGCTCCCATTGCGGGACTGTGGGGTGCGGGTAAGGGGGAGTCTCGTACGCTGTCCCATCTTCGCTGTGCGTGAGACAGAACACAGCAGGCACTCTACGCGGGGTTGTGCGCTGTTCCGCTCTCCCACCGTGTGACCTGTCCTCGTCCCTGCAGCAGCTTTCGTTGCGCCATATCCCGCTCGTTGCATAACAGAACCCCTTCTGTCGGCAACCGGTCGTTTTTCCTCTTATCCCGCTTGGACCGAACCCCCGTCTGTCGGCAACAGGTCGTATTTCCTCGTGTTCCACTCTAACCGAACTCCTGTCTGTCGGCAACAGGCCGTGTTGCCTCGTGTTTCACTCTAACCGAACTCGTGTCTGTCGGCAACAGGCCGTGTTGCTTCGTGTTTCACTCTAACCGAACTCCTGTCTGTCGGCAACAGGCCGTGTTGCCTCGTGTTTCACTCTGACTGAACTGCCGTCTGTCGACAACAGGCCTTGTTGCCTCATATTTCGCTCTGACCGAACGCCCGTCCGTGGGCAACAGGCCGTGTTACCTCGTGTTTCACTGACCGAACTGCCGTCTGTCGACAACAGGCCGTGTTGCCTCGTGTTTCACTCTGACCGACTCCTGTCTGTCGGCAACAGGTCGTTTTGCCTCGTGTTCCACTCTGACCGAACTCCTGCCTGTCGGCAACAGGTCGTATCGCCCTGTGTTTCACTCTGACTGAACTCCTGTCTGTCGGCAACAGGCCTTGTTGCCTCGTGTTTCACTCTGACCGAATTCCTGTCTGTCGGCAACAGGCCTTGTTGCCTCGTGTTCCACTCTGACCGAACTCCCGTCTGTCGGCAGGAGGGCGGCTCGCGCGCCTTCTTCGACGGCCTAGCTCCGCGCGTACTGCGCCGCACGTTCATGGCGGCCATGGCCTGGACTGTCTACGAGCGCGTCTCCAAGACCTTCTAAGCGCGCCGTCGGCTAGCTAGCGAGTGGGATCGCGTCATCGATCGATCCCAGACGAGACACCGCAGCACGGTGGGGTGACCCGAACATGCAGTGAGGGACGCACGACTCCCCTGGTCGTCACCCGAGAGAACAAGATCAGCCGTTCGGTTTGGGCGCGCGGCAGGACCGCGTCGCTATGACAAGACAACCAATCAAAGGAGACCAGCCGCTGTGCGGCGGTCGGAGCACAACCAATGGCAACGCATGTGCGTCGCGAGCGCCAATGAAATGAGGACTAGCCGCTGTGCGACCGTGTTGCTCCGCCAGTGAGAGCGCACCGCTCCTCAGTCTTCACACTGGGAGGAGCGCCGCCGCGGAGCCGCGCAGGCGGATGGGCGTCGCGCGCGGGGCGTCGACGGCGGCATCTTGCGCACCGGACCTTGGCTCGAGCGCAGCGCGCGTCTGCGGCTGTGGCGGAGGCGGACTGATGTGCCTCGCTCTTGCGCCGCGCCAAAGTGCGCACGATTCAGGCCGGCGGAGGCGAGCGGTGCGCAGAACCCTGTGTTTGTGTGTGGGGGTGGGCGGGGAGGGGGCGTCGTGTCGGCGGCCAGAGGCCGGGCGCAGGGCCACGCTGCGAGGCGCCGCTGGTAGTGTGGGCTCGCACTTCAGCAGGGTTCTCCAGGGCGGCTCCTTGCGGCCTGCGAGACTGCTGCGCAGAGCTCTACGACGGTGTGTTGTGTGGTCTTGGTGGAAGACCCACGAGTGCTGTCGCGTTGACCGTCAACGATTCGAACGTTAAGGTTAGCGATTCGAACGTTAAGTTTAGCGATTCGAACGTTAAGTTTAGGGATTCGAACGTTAATCTTAATGGTTGCCGACCTCCGAAACGACTGTTTCGAGATTGCTAATGTTCGCCCAGAATGTGCTGGATGGTGTCTTGCGTAAAAGTTCGATCAATGGCCACGTTAGTCTGTACAAACTATTAAGGCTGTTAAGGTAGTGCAGTTGTGTGGTCCATCCGGCATATGCGTCTCTTAGACGGATGGGGTGAGGCGCAGTCGGACACCAGCGACTGGATTCGTCCGCAAAAAGACCGCACAACGCTAGCTCAAATTGGGACGGGGACGGGCGATAACAACCATGCGGAGTGTCTGCCAACTTCGGGTTTGTAGTTTGCCCGCCAGGGGGATTGGGCCGCGCGGTGCGCGGCAGGACTGTTGGCGGCGAGGGGATGGGACGGGACTCTCCTGCGCGAGCGTGGCTGCCACGGCCGGGAGCCCCGTCGCCGTGGACAATACACGCCCGCACCACGGTGGCCTGGCCTCTCACTCGTCCGGTGGCCGCTAGATGTCAGCACGCGGCGGCGCCTGGCCGTCCCGGCTCGAGGGCAGCTCGGCGTTCGTCTGTGGGCTCAACAGCATGTGACAGTACTCCCCTGCATCGTCACTATTAAATGTTTAACAACACTGGAGGCGGCGAATGGCCGAAGTCGGAGAAGTCGTGTCCCGTGTACGATCGAACAGCGTACGCCATGCGCAGTTCGCGCATGCGCCGAACATGTAACGATCTATTGACTTAATTATGGGTGCAAAATGACCACTGTCGTCGAAACGCGCTTAAATCTAAGTATCATCGTCATGGTCTTGCAGAAGAGCGAGCTTTCCACCATAGCTACAGTGCATGCAAGTCAACGATCATGAAGCGCATTGACGCTTTACCGCCGGATGACGGACCACGCGTTGCTAGGGCGGTGGGTTAGAGCATGGACCAGGCGTTGCAAGTACGGCTGGTTAGATGATGAACCACATTTCGCAAGTACGGCGGGCGACTGCTGCTGTGCAGGAGAAGCGGTGTCTCCGCTCTCCCCGCTCGCCTGGTGGAAGAGCGGCACACATTCCGGTCCCGTTTTGTGAGGCTCTCTCCCGGACTGGCGGTACTCCAGGCGACCCTTGAGTTCTTGAGACAGCGCAGGCAAAACACAAAACAGCTTGTTCAAAACTGCACTGGAAGCATTCCGGGACCCTTAGTACGGTCCAAGTGTCCACGAAAACGAAACAGCGCAGGTGCGCCCGTGAATAGCGAGGGCGGAAGAACGTCCGAGTGAGACGGCCGGCCACACTTTTGAGGTAGTTTTTTAAAGCATTACTTTGGGGTAATGCACCACTTGCACTTGAGTTGATGTGGCTATGACCGCTTTCGCTCTGGCTATCCGTGCATTACGTGGGTTGCCATATGTGCTCTTAGCGAGTTTTTGTCAGGGTGCTGAATTTCAGCAAGGAAGGCTTCGGGCTTCTGGTTGTACAACATTGTGAGGTGTTATTCCGACGAAAGTTGATCCTTTTCACTAGATGGTGCTGGTTAACCAACGCTTATATATATATATATATATATATATATATATATATATATATATATATATATATATATATAAGCGAGTAAAGGTGTCACTGAGCCCTCACCACGGAGCTGGAAGGAAAACACTGCCCCACTGACGTCACTGCCACCGTCTTCATTCTTGTAAGCTGTCGCCAGATATCCTTGAGGGGCGAAGATTCACAAAATGAGCTGCTGGGAGAGGAGTCTGAACAGTGACAAATGACCCGACCTACCCCGAAAATTGCCAACAAATAGGTTTGTCCAGACTTGGCTCACTTTCTTCCCAAAGTTGGGGAGGCGTGAGCATAAGTTAGGAAAAGGAGGCTGAAGCCCGCCCCCCCCCCCCCCCTCCACGTCGATTGAATAGGAAACAACACCCTGCTTAAAGCCATCGCCATTCAAATCACAGCATGCGGTTCTATCAGCCATTGAAAACCCAGTGGCGTCATGGGTCGCCGTCGCGACACCTCGTCGAGCGGATGGCTTTCCTCACAATGGTCACTCGCTGGCCTCTCAATGGCCGCCCCGAACCGGGCTCCATGTCATGTTGCTCCTAAAAGTGCACTCCCCTTGACCATGACGGTGCCCGACGTTACGTGACTTGACGATGCCCCAGCACGCGTGCCCACGGCGCTGACTCGGGGAGGAGGGTGAAGGGGCAGCCGCGACATTTTCGCTGTAAACTACCGGTGGCGGAGCGACTCATGATGGAACCAAGAGGCTAGCGGAGGGGCGGCAACGAGCGGCCGTTGCTGTGCTACCCTTCTCCGCGTGCGCGAGTGCTGTTACTGGGTCAGTAAGAAAGCACATATGTCAGTGATGAATGTTGGTAAAGTTGGCATGATCAAATAAATGACCTGCTTTTCCATCGGTCGCCAAAACTTCGCTGATGCGCTGCGGCGTCATTTGTTAGCACGGGACGAGGCACCGTAGCCTTCTCCGGTGTTACCGCTGCAGCCGGCAGGGGAGACCATTGCTGCCAAATCCACTGTTTTGACGTCTCCATGACTTGCTCTCTGACCAAGCCTCGAAACGTAAGCAAACTCAGTTGGCGAATCATTGCTCGAATAACTGTGTCAGCAGAGCTGGCTTGCTGCGGGCCGTCACCAGGTCAGCGGGGCTCAGCGACCGGCAAAACCTCGCGGGGCTGGGGAGGGGAACGTGGGGCGGGGGGAGGGGTCAGGGTGCATTATTCATTGATCCGTTTCAATGCAACGCCATAAAGATTGGCGTTAATTTTCCTAGCGTTGGGCGTTGAAAGTTTGGTGCCTACTAATACTGCCGACCACGGGCCGCCAGCGGCAGGATGGCTGCCCGGCGTCCCTGGTCAGCATGGATGTCCGCCTTCGCCGACGACGACCGAAGCCCAGCCGACACCGGCCCGACGGTTGCACGACACCATCCCGACAGTTACGTGACGCCGGCCCGACGGTTGCCCGACACCGGCCCGACAATTACCCGCCGTACACCAGATAGGACAGCAACGCCGGCCCGACCGTGTCCTGACGATTGCTTGCCATTCAACCGACATCCGTTCGACGTCGGGTCCACACACTGCATATCCTCGTTTTATGACCGTTCAGCAGAGAGCTAAGCAAAAGAGCAAGTACTGCTTGGCCACTCTCTGTATTTCCGCGGCTCACACGTCACGTGGCTTTGAGAGCAGGAAGACGGGCGTTTGCTGCGTCTGGGGCAGGGGCGCGAGAGCTACGTTCAGCTTGGGGGAAGGCAATTACCAAAATGCTAAATTAGACCCCTAAGGTTAGATGGTGGGCCCCTACAAACCGAATGGGCCCTTTGCCGTCAATAATGGACCCAATCTGCGGGACAATACAGACCCTCAGCAGTTAATAACTAGCAGTCCATATGTAAGAATGGGTCCACTACGAGTCAGAATGGGACCCCCACTGGTCATAATGGGTCATCGTTAGGCCAGAATAAACTCTTTAAGGTCAGAATGAGTTCTCTACAGGCCAGAACAAGCCCCTCTGCGGACCAGAAAGGCCATTCTGGCCTGTAGAGGCTCATTCTGACCTCTACAGGTCAGAATGGACCTTCTGCAGACCAGAGTGCGTTCTTTAAAGGCTGGAATGGACCCTTTAAAGGCCAGGATAGCCCTCAATAAGGCAGAATAGGTCCTCCATTCAATAATAGACGTCTACAGATCAGAATGAGACCCCAGCGGTCGGAGTGGGCCCCCACAGACGATATTGAGTCTTCTACAAGCCAGAATCGGCCTCTGCGTACTCATCTGTGTTCCCTTTTGGGTAGATTGGTCTTAAATAGGCCAGAATGAGCCATCGAAATGTCCAAATGTACTTTTACAGGCTTGTACAATTATCTTACAGTTCTGAATCGGCCCTTCCCATGCCAGAATGGGCCTTCCACATTCCACAGGCCGTCCAAGTTGGCTGGCGGGGGGGGGGGGGGGCAAACTGCCCCGCTGCTCCCCCTCGGTTTCCGCATCCTTGATCTAGAGCGATATCTCTCACGCCTGCTTAATACTGTGGTATGTGACGGACTTTCGCGCGACAGCAGCTGAAACAAATCAAAATAGTTTTTTTTGTAATTTGTGTGAGCAGGAATGATTTCGTTAAGCCATCGGGCCGTTCCCTTAATTCCAGCGATCCTCCTCGTATGCAACACGAACGATAACGAACAGAACGCCCACAGTGCCAGCCAGATGATGGCAGGCGATTGGCACCGTCGCGCTGGTCCGAGAGCAGCAGCGCAGAACCCTTCGCCTGCACGACTCAGGATGGACCGTATCAGGGGAGAACAGATGTGAAACAACACCCTCCCGGTCTGCCGCTCGCAATGGCCAATCACAGCCCGCGTAGACTCCACCGCGTGGCGGCGCGCTTGAAGCGCGGTATGTGATTGGTCGTCTGACCGTGTTGATCGCCAACCATAGCTCGTATTTTATCAACGCGGATGGCATCGTCGGAGCTCCGCGTCGCCGCCGCCGGCCTGCATCGAGCGCTTCGCGGCCCCATGCGGGTACGCCCGAGGCTATCAAAACACGGCGCACCCGCGGCGACACACCCGGGGCGTTCTGTGACGGTGTTGTGTCGCGGCGCCGTCGGTCTGTCGTCGGCATGCTGCTGACGCCTTGCACAGCTGAACCCGAGGCCTGTCAACAGCGGACGCCGTCAGCGTGTTTACCGGGCGCCCCCGTTCGTCATTCTGATCCGCTGCACCTGGTGGC